ACACACACACTCTTATAGTATCATTGACTAATAAATAATGTGTGAACAAGAAACATTAATGATACCACAAAAATATATTTATACCCTTATAGTATCATTGACTAATGAGTAATTTCTTAATAAGAAACACCTTAATGATACCACAAATATATATATATATATATATACACACACACATATACTAGACACAAGTGTCCGTGCTAGCACGAGCTCAATATTTGTTATATTTTGTCTCACTTTATATGATATATATAGAAAAAGTTGTTAATTATTATAATTTACAGTACCGTGTATGTAATTTTTTAAATACTATATGTTACTTCCCTTGTTCCAATGTATGTAGTACAGATAGAATTTCAAGAATCGATCAAATATTGTAAATTATTGAGATTTACAATACTTTTTACGTAATTTTCAAATTAAATAATACATGTTACTTCTTTTGTCCCATTTTATGTGACACAAATAGATTAATTTTATGAATCAATCGTTTTTTTTTTGTATAAGTAATCAAATTTTTTATATGTTTTTTTAAAAATATTTCAAGTTGTCAAATATCACGATTTATAATATTTTTTCTCAATTTTTAAATATATAAAAAACTGAAAAAACAAGACAAGCATAGTGTTAATGTTATTACTTGTTAATCAAATCCACAAATAAAATTATCTTTATAATATTTATTAAGTTTTTTTTTAAGTATAAGTATAAATATCAAAATAGAAATATTAACCTAACTGTTTTGCAATGATCACAATAAAACACAAAAAATATGACAATATTCCAACCATAAAAAAGTAAAAAATAAACTCCTTAAAAAATCATGAAACTTATGGCGTATCTAACACTTCATGAAACCTATGGCGTATCTAACACTTCATAATCATCTTCATCAAGCATATCTGAATCAACTTGTGGGAAGGTTGTCTTAACATCTTCATTTTCATCTGCAATTTATATGCGGTTTCAATTAGTTAAATATTAAAAAATAACTAAATTGAGAATTATAATATTTAAATGTACACAAAAATATATTACCAGTTTGAGAAAAATCATGTAACCAGTTTCGAGTAGCAACAAGTGTTTGGACATTTTCATGGTGGATGCAACTTCTATACTTAGTGATTTCCTAAAAAACTTTAAATAGATTTTGAGTTTGGATCTCTTTAATTTTAAAATTTAATATTATTATATTTTTTAATTAATTTTTACTGGCCCACGGGCCGGCTCTATCTATATTTCTCAAGCCCTACAAATCAACAGGCTTATTCAGGCCGGGCTGAAAAGCCTTTTTTTTTAAATGGGCTCCAAATTTTTTATCCCAGCCCTATTAAATCCCGGGTTAGGCCAGGCCGGCCCAACAGGCCTAACCCATATTGACAGCTCTGGCAGATATATATATGTAAGTGTGGAAGCACACATGTGATGCATACATGTTGAGGTGATTGTCCACACTTATATATTAGTAGTCGATATATTTATCCACACTTAATATATTAGTAGTTGATATATATATATATATATTTGTGTATAGTACAAATATGTATTTACTTCCTTTAAACTAGTTAGCTTTATAATTATGTATACTTATTAATTATCTTATGTTTTGATAATTATTTTGTCTTGTTTAAATTAAGAAGCTCAAATAATTAATCGATAATTATTCGTCTTATTTCAATTTCGATTGAATTTAGCTAATTGATTTGATTTGACTATAATGAGGAGAAAATCGAGATCAAACTCTCTGCAGAAACTGGATACAGAGGATATCAAAGAATTGGAGAGAATATAACCAAAGGCAAACCTGACATACATGAAGCTATTGATGTATGTTATTTAATTTCTTATGGTGTGTGTGTATAACTTGCTGGCCTTATAGTAATCTCCGGCGATCGCTTTCCGATCTCCTCTCAGTTCCCGGTAAGTCAAG